CAGCCCCACCGCGGTGCCCGTGGGTGTGCCGGGCTTGGCACGGGCCGGGCACGGGTGTTCATGGCCATACAAGGCTGTGCCCGGCTGGACACGGCTGTGCCCGGCGGTGCCCGGCTTTGCACACGCATTTTTCACGCATTTTCACGCATTTTTCACGCCTGTTCACGCCTGTGCACACGCATTTTTCACGGCTTTGCACACACATTTTTCACGCATTTTTCACGCGTTTTTCACGCATTTTCACGCATTTTTCACGCCTGTGCAAGGTGCTCGCGGCCGGACCCGGCCGTTCCCAACTTTCCGGGGCCGTTTCCAGCTGTTTCCAGCTGTTTCCAGCTGTGCGCGGCTCCGCGGGGGTTCCCGGGCGCACGGAGGTGTCCGCGGGCAGGCACAGCTGGGCACAGCTGGACACGGGGGTTTCATGGGTGTACATGGGTGTTCATGGGTGTTCATGGGTGTACATGTATGTGCGCGGCTGTTCACGGCTGTTCACGGCTGTTCACGGCTGTTCATGGCTGTACACGGCTGTACATGTATGTGCACGGCTGTTCATGGCTGTACATGGCTGTTCACGGGTGTTCATGGCTGTTCATGGCTGTTCACGGCTGTTCATGGCTGTTCATGGGTGTTCATGGGTGTACATGTATGTGCGCGGCTGTTCACGGCTGTTCATGGCTGTTCATGGCAATACACAGCTGTACACGTATGTGCGCGGCTGTACATGGATTTTCATAGCTGTACATGGTTATTCATGGCTGTACATGGATGTTCATGATTTTACACGGATGTTCATGGCTTTACATGGATTTTCGTGGCTCCACATGAATGTTCATGGCTGTACATGGATGTTCATGGCTGTACATGGCTGTTCATGATTTTACACGGTTGTTCATGGCTTTACACGCATGTTCATGGCTTTACACGCATGTTCACGGCTGTTCACGCATGTTCACGGCAGCGCACGAGTGTCGCAGCCTCCCCGCGCTGCCCCTGCCCCATTCCGACCCCCCAAACCCCCCAAATCCCCCTCCCCGGGCTCTCTGTCACTGTCCCCTCGCTGTCACTGTCCCCTCACTGTCACTGTCCCCGCGCTGTCCCCTGCCCCGGTGTCCCATCCATCCATCCATCCATCCATCCAGACCCCCCCAAACCCCCCAAATCCCCGTTTTTCTGCTCTGGAGCCCTGTGGGACGGACCGAGCCCCCCCAGCCCGGTGCCCCCCGCACCCCCCGGTTCCCCCCGGGGCCCCCGGTGCCCCCGGTGCCGCTGACCCCGGTCTGGGCCATGCCGAAGGGCCCGGGGTTCATGCCGAGGAACAGCACGGCTTTGGGGCCGCGGCAGTAGCGGCGCACGAAGCGGCGGTGCGGGAGCCACGCGTACTCGAGCGGGGCGTACACGAGGGACACGGGGGGCCCGGGGGGCGGCAGCGCCCGCAGCTGCTCGGACAGAGCCCGCTCCAGGGCCAGGAACCGCTCGGCCACGGCTGCGTCCTCATCATC